TAAACTAAAAAACCAATGTGATGTTAATAAAACATTTCAATATTTATTTTTTAAATAATTTTAGAAATGTCATTTTGACAATTTAAATTCGTAATTTCAGAGATGAAAAAAGTGTGAAGAATTATTTTCCACCGAAATTTTCAACCAAATTCGACACAATTGCTCTGGCAGGATTTTTTAACTTGTAAATATACGAAAAAAATTTGATATTCATTACTTTTTTTAAATTAATAGTGATGTCGCTTTGACATTTTTAAATCTTAATTTCAGAGATGCATGTATATAATCTTAGGATTTGAAGAATTTGATTCCAGAATCCGAGTTTAGTTTTCAGACATCAACGTCAGTGATGTTCCCAAACATCAAATGTAGATGGTGTGTTATAATCGCTATCACACACTTGTCTACACTTGCACTGACAAACACTAATACAATACAAATTGCAATACATTTAAAATATATTCATTCATTCATTGAGGTTATGTACAAATCAGAATTACTTTATTAGTCACATACAACTTGATGTTTATGAACATCAAATGAGATGTACAGCGTATTTCAAAATTTACGTATAATATAAGTAATATATTTTACTTGTATTGGAGTTTGTATGTATTAGTTTGAAGTGTATTTAAATGTGTATTAGTCAGTGCAAGTGTAGATAAGTCTGCGATAGCGATTATAACACACCATCTACATTTGATGTTTGGGAACATCACTGACGTTGATGTCTGAAAACTAAACTCGGATTCTGGAATCAAATTCTTCAAATCCTAAGATTATATACATGCATCTCTGAAATTAAGATTTAAAAATGTCAAAGCGACATCACTATTAATTTAAAAAAAGTAATGAATTTTCGTATATTTACAAGTTAAAAAATCCTGCCAGAGCAATTGTGTCGAATTTGGTTGAAAATTTCGGTGGAAAATAATTCTTCACACTTTTTTCATCTCTGAAATCACGAATTTAAATTGTCAAAATGACATTTCTAAAATTATTTAAAATATAAATATTGAAATGTTTTATTAACATCACATTGGTTTTTTAGTTTA